CTCTCGCTTCTTGGTAATTGTATAAAAGTAGGTAGCTGTATGATTAGTTGGTTTATCGAAGGCTGCAAGGAATATAAATTTCTCTTTGCCATTCAAATACCTAAAAATGTACTTATGACAACCGAAAAGAATGGATCTGCTGCTATCATACAAAGGCCAATCTACAGTACACTGTACCTCGTCTTCTACTTTACCTAAACTACAAAGTCAGTGAACCAAATAGTGGCGGGGCACTCTCTGCTGACCTCCCAGGCATTACCAAAGATTTTCTCTGATGTAAATCACTGCTGCCTCCACTTAGACCTAGGGCCACAGCAAGTACATTTTATGGATGACATCATCCACAGACTCCAAATCTAATGCGAGCGGCGAAAAAAACTGGCCGAAAAAAAACAAGGCTCCTACATTTTAAAATTTTGACTCAATCATTGTACAAATGGTTTTGATTCAGTGGGAACATCACATATACACAGCCAGCATCACATATCACTGCATCAAAGTAAGAAACAAAACATTAATTCAGAGCATTTTCTTGTCTCCTATCTTCATAGTCATCTGCCATCCACCTTCCGGCATGTTCTTTGCCCATTTTCGGCATGTTGACCATTGTCAGAAGCTTAAGGCAACAACATTTCTTGTTATTTCTTTCCAACCTCAGGCTAAAATCAATGCGCGCGCTGATGTCATCCATAACTTGCTGCTGTGGCCTAAACAGTAGACGTTCCTATCGTCACGTTTAGTCGATACCACGGTAATGTTCCATCAATAGCAGGGGCATTGTGCTACTCTGCGTACGTACCGTGTAAAATGCTCGGGAAACTTTACACCCAGTGGATACTATCGATTTTTGTTTTCAGTCTAATTGTGTCACAACAGTGGGAGATCTGATGCTAAGTTGGCTGTGGTGTACGTGTCGTATATTTTTACTTTTTAGGCCACACCGACTTAATTTTATGGATGACATCTGCAGGCCTGTTCTAAAACAAACAAGATCACGTCCACCAAGGCTCTGGCCTGGCTCTAGGCCTGGGTAGTCCATGGTAGTTACCTAGCGACAATACGGAACCGGGCACCCAGGCTACCTAAGCTCCACGACTCAAGAACTCAGTACATAAGTACAGTGCCGATTCATAAATTCCGCAAAAAGCCAACATGTGCCGGCTTGTCGTATACGTCGCTAAGTACTGCCGCAAATTCACAATACCAGCTTTGTATTCCTATGGGTAATAGTAGCATTTTTATTTTTGACCGGGTTTTTTTTTATTCGCCCGTGCGCATTAGTTTGGGGGTCTTCAAAGGATGTCATCCAAGAGGTTGTGGCCTTAGCGTGTTCAAATGATCGTCATTTTCGTCCTCCCAGATCGCACGAGGTCACAACAGTGAGAAATCTGATGCTAACTTGGCTATGGTGTACGTGTCGTATATTTGGTATGGAATACACAGTGTTGCAGGTTAGCGTGTTAAAATGATCGCCACTTTCGTCCTCCCCCGTCGCACGAGGTCAGACATCGCTCCCTCTGTGTCAGCTAATGGTGCCTGCGATAAAGTGAGTTTTGATAAGGGTTGTGACACGCGTAGTGCTGCCATAACAGCGATGTTTTATTCATAAAGCAAGTGTCAGTCAGAACACATTCTCTTGTTTATAGACACCGATCTTACCTGGTTAGCTATCAGTTCTGTGACACTTTACTTTAGGCTGATCGACATTTTTATGGAAGGAAAACATTGTGTTTGCTCAGTTTCTTCCTCTTCTTCTTCTTCTCCAAACAAATAAGGTCAATGACCTGAACCAGACGGCTGTCACCATGGTAACTAGTGTTGAGTTACATCATGTTGCAATTTTATAGCAGGAGGGATTTAGACTCCTGTCAACATATGTGTCAATGTTTTTGAGTAAGAATTGATAGAGCAGAAGGTGAACATTATGAATTTGCTTTGCAAATGTTACCTTTCTAGTTAGTACGTTAACACTGCTTGATGAGACAGAAGTACACCAGATCCATTACTAACGCGACCTAATGACATTCCACAAGGAGGAATTGAAGACGTAAAAGTAAGATTCTCATCTCGTCTTGCTGAGATTAAACATCTTGTTATTGGGTTTCCTTATTGGGAGCTCATTTTCACTTTTACTATTTACCTTAATCAAAACAGTCATGATTGATTCTATACAACCGGATGCAAAGCAGACCGACAGTGTGTATATCGACTTCCAACACTGAAAGGGTAACGTTATACTCCAGTAGCTTCAATCAGATTGGGGCTTTAATCGCAGAGTAGGAGTTCTACACCAATCAGGCTGGGGATTACACGCAAAGCCAGATCCTTGGTATGTAGGAACTTTGTGCAGTTGACCGTTTACGTTCGCAAACCAGCGAGCAGTGATGTCGGTCTGATTAATCTACAAGCAGATCCTACGGTGGCAATGGCCTAGAGACCAGCCTTGTAGTTCCCCAAGAATTCATTCTTTCCTAGAACTATCGCAGAGTGGAACTCGCTGTCACCAAGTACAGTAGGGGCATTGTCATTAGATAGCTTTAAACAATGTCTAGAGTTAGAAGTTCAAGGGTGAGGTGTAACAAGTCGATCGGTGTAATATAGCCAGCTGCCGCCGCGCCGCGTGCCTGCGAAGCTGGTGTGTTACGCCGAAAGGCGGTTATACCGTCTATACAGATTCAGATACCCAGCTAACAAGGCTGGACTCGAGGCTACGATGGCAAGACAGTATTCACTGCTGGCCAGAAGAGTGTTCATTATATAGCCACACTAGATTAATCAGGCCAATATCACTGTGTCGGGGTAGTGGTTCTTGCGGAGCGGATCAAAGGCTAGAATCCAGGCCACGTCGGTGAAGGTTAGACATCCAGGTAATAAAATACGCCACAAACAGCTACTCAAGCCACTGGATATGATTTTGGCAACGGCCAGACGTTTCAGGTAGCATCCATTACCTTTTGCAAGTGACACTGGAGAACTTGTGCAGAAAGGCTAGAATCCAGGTTATTGCCACCGTAGTATCTGCTAGGAGATTAGGTCTAATAGAATACACAGTGATTTACCAGGGTACTGGTACATGATAACGACTGATTCTTTCCTCTCTTCGCCACGAAGTGACTCATGCTGAAATATATGAAAGCTCTCACAAGTTACCAAGAGAAAGACTAACAATTGACACTACAAAGTATGTCATTCAGAAAGCCGGACATTTACTGAAACTAATAAGGTTCGTCGGTGAAGGTTAGACATCCAGGTAATACGATACGCCAACAGTTACTCAAGCAACTGGATCTTCCAAAATTATATCCAGTTGCTTGAGTAACTGTTTAGATTGTTTGGGTATATGAAAAAGACGCTATGTCATTGATATTTTCTGGTTATTCTGATTCGCACCTTTCGTGAGAGTAGTAGATCTTTCTCCTATATATCACTTTGACAAGACTCTCTAACATGTAGGTCAAACGTCCCAGGCGCTTATTAAATTTTCTCCGGATAAAGGGCACCGCCTTCGCTTTGAAGCTTGGCGGCGGAAGAGGCCGCCAATTGCCGCAAACCTCTGAGGACCGCACGGCTGGAATGGTAATGTTCCCGTAACAAAATTGGCAATCCTTCTTACAACACTACAAAACCTATATACCGCGCCTTCATATATAGACCTTTATTACAAAGTGAATCTAGATTATTTCACTTGCCATCTATACCGACATCATAATTTGTTTCTCGTGGAAAATTGAGTAAAATTCCTTTTGTGGATGTCTGAATCTATAGGAGCTGTGACTGGAGATCTTTTATAACGGTTAGGCCACAGCAAGTAATTTCTATGGGTGACATCAGCACACGCATTAATTTTCGCCTGATTTTGGAGAGAAAAAAAAAGAAATTTTGTTGCCTTCTGACAGTGGTCAACATGCCGAAAATGGGAAAAGATGTCTTCTGCTATGCCGGAAGGTGGATGGCAGATAACTATGAAGAGAGGAGACAAGAAAAGGCTCTGATTTAATTTTTTGTTTCTTACTTTGATGCAGTGATATGTACGCTCTACATATGTGATGTTCCCACTGAATCAAAACCATTTGTACAATGATTGAGTCAAAATTTTAAAATTTAGGAACCTTGTTTTTTTCAGCCCTGCTTGTTTTTTTTCGCTCGATCGCATTAGATTTGGAGTCAGCGGAGGATGTCATCCATAAAATTTACATGCTGTGGCCTTACTGCAACTCGCACACGGTATTACCATAACGAAATGGCCATATACATCACTACAAGGCGTATGATTGTTCAAGCGTCAAGCTTGTAATATAGACGCTATCGAGACGACATTTTGTGACAAATATTGAGCTATGTATTAGCTTCTGTCTCGTCTGGGGAATCCGTAAAAAGCTAGCATATTAAGACTTTGTAATCGTTAAGGAACACAAACGGAAGACTAGATAGAGGAAGACAGTATAATTGATTGGCTGACGTAGGGCAGCTAATAGGGAAGCATTGTTAATCAGCTACTGCTAGTAGTTTGATTCAGCATTAATTCTTTACAATATTAGCCCAATATCAGTTAAGTGACATTTCCTATCTTGCTCTTGATCATGTCTCCATTGTATAAAAAAACATGCATGAAACTGTAGCTGACACAGTTCGCTAGTGTAAAGTTACAGGAGCCCTTTGTTATGAAAAACCAATAAGAAATGTGACTTACTAGTATTCCGCCAACAACATGACTGGAATTTTCAAAAGGACTCAGTCTTTATATCATGAAAATCCAATATCAGCCTTGGCTGAACATATTCAGTTACGTGCGCCGTCACTTTGTGATGAAAAGTTTTCTCGAGCTATATAGGAAGAGCTCGAAATTTTCATGTGTATTCGTGTACAACTGATTTATATAAACGCATGGTCTGTGTTTGAGAACAACTTCCTAAATGCATGCTTTCCGAAATAAAGAGCAATAGACAACTCTTCCGTTGCCGAACTTCTTTTGTTATAATAATAACAATAAAGTTAGTTTTCCAGAATTTTGAGTCAATGAAAATGATCAAATCATCAGGGCATGTTGTTGTGACTCGACGTTTGGCTATAAAACGTTCAGATATGATTGACAGACGGCAATAAGGTTGATGTGGCTTACTGCAGGTACTCGTACGGTACCCTCAGCACGCAGGCCGCGGAAGCCACTGTGGTGATGGGCGGCGCCGAGACGGGCCTCCACCGGCGGTCTCCCCGCCGGTACGTGCAGGCGGTGGAGAACACCTTGGCCTGGTTGTGCAGGTCCCTCCCCCCGCAGACGAAAGTCTCCTCTCCGACCACGCAGCAGGCGTACAGCACCCGCTGCCCGCTGAAGTGCATGACCGGGACGCGCTCGTTGGTGGCCTCCCACGTGTCCTCCCGCGGACTGTAGCGCACCACGTCCGATCCCTCCACGAACAGGTAGATGTTCCCCTTGATCACCCTGGCCACGGGGACGTAGTGGAAGCGGGATATTCCCGGTGGAACGTTTCGCCAGCGGTCGCAAACCGTGTCGTACATTTCCACCGAGCTGCTGACGATGTTGCCCTCCTTGAGTCCGCTGATGGCGTAGATGAAGCGGTCGTCGACGGTGGCGGTCTCGAAGAGGCACCGGCCGGTCCGCATGGGCGCCACGAACGCCCACTTCTTGGAGGAGCTGCTGAGGTCGAGGCACTCGACGGAGTTGTGTATGACTCCTCCGTTCTCGCCTCCCATCGCGAAGAGGCGGCCGTCGCAGGCGGCCAGCGCGGGGTACGCCCGCGGGGTCTGCATGTCCGGCATCCCCTGCCACGTGTTGCTGAAAGGGTCGTACATGTACACGGCGCGGTTACTGGTGGTGGTGCGACTCAGCTTCCCTCCCGCCACGTACAGACACCCGTCTAGAACAGTCACGGAGTGGGAGCAGACCTTGCAGGGGAGGGGTGCCAGGCTTGCCCAGCGCTGCTCCTCAAGAACGTACGCTAACGTACTACTGATCCTCCCCTTCTTAGACTTCCCACCCAGTACTATCACTGCCGTGATAAGCCTGCCTTGCCGCGGTATCAGCCGCGGGGACACCGTCAGGCAGTCCGGGTAGTTGCTATTCTCGAAAACCTCCATGAGATAACCCTTGCATTTGGGGCTCTGTCCGACCAGTTCTTCGGTTTCGACGCGATCCAGGAGATATTCCCTGTCTATCTCAGCCAGACGGATCTGAGACATGAGTCTGGGGAAGAGATGCCTCCGGTGTTGTATATCGTGTCTGGTCCAGCGGACGATAAGTTCGAAAACTGTCTCCTCGCGGAGAACTCTGAGTCTGTCGTCTGCTATCAGGTCTCGGAGCTGTCCGAAGGGAAGCTGGAGGACCTCCTCTCCCTGCACCATGTCGTTAAAGTTGTTTTGGATGAAGCGTTTGGACGTGTCCAGCAGGTCTTGAATGTTGTAGACGCTGGCGAGGGACCTGACGCCGAGACAGTTGCCTGCAGTGATGTGGTTGCCGAGGAAGTCGGCGCAGCGCGCTCGGAGTCTCTCCAGCATGAGGTGGTCGGCTCCCCGCAGGACGTCCTCCACGTTCCCCTCGTTGATGACGGCCCGTCCGGTGTAGATGAAGTCTAAGACCTGCTCCATGGCGGCGGGGGTGGTGCAGGTCAGGGCGATGTGGTTCGTCTGACTCTCCGTCATGTTGGAGTCGTACAGGGCGTCGAAGTACGGGCTGCAGGCGGCCAGGACGTTCCGGTGCGCGTGGAAGTCCCACCCGCCCACGCTCACCACCATGTCGGTGAATCTCCCCTCGCGGCGCTGCCACTGCAGCCTGCCGAGGATCTCCGCGCAGTGGTCGGGCTGACACGCCTCTCCGGCCGAAGGCAGGGAGACGCTGCTGCCTGGGCTGTAGTCCGACATGGTGGAGACAGCGGCTCCGTTGTGTCCCCTTCCCGCTGCCCGGCTAAGTGCCCTTTAATTGCTGATCTCAGCGCCACGCATTCACAGCCGCCTCCCAGCACAAGGATGGAAAAAGAGCTGTCAAATGAAGTCCCCAATGGGACACTATCAGTCTTATAGCAAATAGGGTTCCCTGTCCCGGCACAGATAGACAAATGGATGCTGTCGATGGCAATCACGTAGGACTCCGTCAAACTCACGTCCTGCCGGCGGGTCGATCGGACTCAGTAATCGAACCTAATGCTCCCAAATGTACCCTTAATGAGCAGAGAGCTCCGTGTTCCGTACACTGGCCGGCAACAAATGGGCAACCATGCTTTTAACGCGGGGATACGTCTTCCCCTGGACGGGATTTCAATACTTCTGATCAAATACCCGTGTCGCACGGATTGCCTGGGTTTTAGAACATGAAGCATTTCACCAATCTGTATCGAAGGCTTTAAACGTAACGTCCATGGTACATATCGACCCTTCATCACAATTTCTCCCACTCCAACATAAATCAAAGATGCTTAAGTCCCCAGACAAAATGACGAGTGAAATGTTGCCGTAGCGTGTGTGTTATGACAGCTCTGACGAGAGGATTATGTGTGGCATACGTTTCCTATCCGGTTAGGGGAAAAAGCCAGCGGTGCGATTCCTAATTACTACCGCATCAACAATAGATGAGATATCTGCGTCACAGAATGTGGGACGACGGCGAACACAAAGTGCTATATATCGGCTCTGCCAGCGCGATTGACTGATAGAATGATTTGTGGTAATCTGATGTCTTTGCACTCGATTCGGATTTCCGATCGTTCGATTCGCCAGGCAGGAAATGGCTGGTACGTACCGATCCTCAGTCCAAGCGGTAAAATAAAACAGCCGCGTCCGCCAACATGACTTAATGGGCACGCTGTGGTCGGGAGAGCCACTGCATCGAACTCCACGAGCCATCAAGAAGGATAGCCTAACTATACCTGAAATAGTGTTTGTGATTGACGCCATAGGAAACAGGCACACGAGTATTGTGCAATTTTATTATATAGTGTGTAGGGACAAATTTAGTACTTCTTTTGAATGACGAATTGTTGTTTTTGTTGTCTCTCACGATAAATAAATCAAATCAACTGTATTGCTCAACAAATGTAACTGATACAATGTATGGCAAAGAAGAAACAACAAGGGTACATACATGAACTATACTAAAATGTAATTCTAACAGAGTTAATGCATACCAGCTATACTAACTTTCAATTTTACCAAAGCTAATATGTTGTGTATGCTTTTTGTTGAGGAGAGTATTATTACATTCTATAATTCAGGAGATACGTCAGTTATTTACAATATGGTGTCACTTTAGTAGTGATTCGGATATGAATTTTCCAACGTAGACTGATATCTCAGATGAAAGATTATCATTAGTAATCTACCACTCAAAACTCGTTCACTTTTGTTGCGTTACTCTCCAAGCAGAGGTCTGGGTTTGGGGTTATTTTTGGCGTCTTTTTAGGCTTTTGTTATCGGGGTTTTTCCTTTGCACTGAAATGTTTTTTGGGTGAAACCAAAAGTCCAGTGCAAAAGAGAAACTAAAGCCTAAAAACACGCCAAAAATTATCCCAAACCCAAACCTCGAGCTCTGCTTGGAGAGTATGTTACGTAGCTCTGAGTCGACTATCCTTGTTTGTTTGTTTGTTTGTTTGTTTGTTTGTTTATTATTTGCACAGCAGCAATGAAAAAAAATTATACATAGTAACTTAATAATGAATAAAACAGGTGCAGGAGGAGGGGAAAAAGCTTATTTAGCTTATGCTAAGCCCTCCTCCTCTATACTAACCAAAAGTAAACATAATTGAATTGAAATAAGGCATACATACATAAGGAATTGTTATCAAAACAATTCAAACATGGGCAAAATGATACAATAACAATAATGAAACAGTAGTATACATAAATTGAGATGAAATGAAATTGATATGAAATAATACATATATACATAAGAAATTGTTATCATAATAATTCAAACATAGGCAAAATAAACAATAACAACTATCCTTGTTACCCTCTCACATCAGCCTATCTTACGTTCTAGTACAGGCAACGTAATGTGGAAACTGTGTATTGTTCATAGTGAATACAAATCACTTTGAAACAGTGGTATTTTGCCCACCCCGTGAGGTACATGTATGCTCACCTCCTACACATACCTCACCGGGACGCCCTAAGCATTCACAATAATAAATGTCAAAAATCCTCCAAATACACGCAATTTGTCTGGGAATGACGGGGCAACTTTTTATTTTCATGCAAGTAAAGATGCATATCTAACCATGGAGGACTTAATCAGAATGGATTAGTATGCTGGCTCATTGGGCACCTAAATTTTGAGCCAAAACTACGCATTTCAAATTAAACCATATAGGGGAAGCATGCATACAGGGGCTAATACTATAAAGGTCTTATCGAAAAATACTTTCTGTGGCGACTGTAGGTATACCTTGCGAGATTTCCCCCTTTGCCTTAATAAGAATGGATTGGTATGGCGGCTCATTGGGCCTTTGCCAAAAATGCGCATTTCAATTTAAACCATATAGGGGACGCATGCATACAGGGGCTAATACTATAAAGGTCTTATCGAAAAATACTTTCTGTGGCGACTGTAGGTATACCTTGCGAGATTTCCCCCTTTGCTTTAATAAGAATGGATTGGTATGGCGGCTCATTGGGCCTTTGCCAAAAATGCGCATTTCAATTTAAACCATATAATAACTTTATTGCACAACAGTTGTACATGGTACAAAGTATGGCAAAACTTATCTATAAACTTAACTATGGACTAAACTAACTAATACAGGAGTTTGTGGCTGATATAGGACGTGAATGAACTTTTACAATATTGGAGGAATTTCTTATGTCTAGACATTGTTTGATATACATTCCTATATCTACCATACATGAGTTATCACAGGTCATTATTATCTTAAATTTGCTACTTAAATCCATCGATGTAAATTCTGGTACATATGGCGATAGTTTCGTATTTAATGAATTGCGTACATCAACATACTTAGGACATTCCATCAAAAAGTGATACTCATTCTCAACTAGTAGGGGACGCATACATACAGGGGCTAATACTCTGGTCTTATCTAAAAGATACTTTCTGTGGCGAATTAAAGTATACGCCAAAAAGCATCACTGACGAAAGGTAGAGAATGCTACCTGAAAGGTCTAACCGTTTCCAAAATCATATCCAGTTACTTGAGTAACTGTTTTTTTTTTGTTGCGTATCTTATTACCTGGATGTCTAAACTTCACCGACGACTTTAGGTATACATTGCGAGATTTCCCCGATTCGGGTGCTGCTTTTTTTGGTTCACACCCACCCTCCGTCAACCACATACCCCAATTTGCTTCCTTCTTTCCTACAAATGTAATTAACGTAGAAACTGCGACCCAAACTTTCCATACTTTCATTAACGCCCAGTGTGTGCGTGTACATATATAAGAGCGATCTATTGATCGTACGCGTGTATGAATGGTGTATGTAATGATGAATACCCTCCCTGTCCGACATATATAACTGTGGGAATCAGTAGAAGCCGTAACTACATCAACTTAGCCACTGTACAGTTGTACTACCACTGCCAGATGACAATCACTCTATTTAAGATTTCAGAGCAGCAAAACTGACACATACTGCTTCACATGAGCACATTTCAATCAGTATTTCAACCTTTGGGTATTTAAAACTGTAGAAACAAGCCCCAAGATAAATCCTTTATATATTTCATGGGTGGTACCCAAAAAATCAGCCCAGGGCCCTTCCAGTAACCATTTTCCGTCAGAATGTTTGGGTATTTTTGCTCCACGAGGGTCAATATACATTGGGATAGGGTGGTTTCAACTCAGTGTGTAGATAAGTGACTATAATATTGACTTTGAAAAGTCGGGTTTCCAAGCCCTAAAAACTGCATTGGATTATCCAGACTTATCGAATTCCAGTGAGAAATTCTTACCCTTGGTATGGCTGGCTAGACGTTGTACATTTCGCCACCATTGCCTGTTAACAATACTTACGTTCAGAACACTCTTAGCAACGTAACGTACAAGTAAACACATTTTCCCCCTTCCCTTTTCTACGACAAGACGTGACTTCTGCAAAGAGTTATCGTAACCCAAATATCCGGTCTTGAAAATTTCGTTTGCTTAGTCCAAGTACCATAGTCTAGGCATCCAATGCAATTTCACTGGGCAAAACAAAAAGTATATTCTTGATGAGGAAATATATCCCACGTGTATTGTCTTGTTATGATTCCATTAAAATCAAAGTCATTTCATACTTGAAGCCTTTGAAATAAGCCACCAACAAGCTACGTGACGCATTGCTTTATTTTGGGGTACCACCCATAAATAGCTAGAACCAGCCTATGATACTACAATACAAGCAACCGTTTTCCCTCAGTTACATCGCATTTTTGCCTCACAAATATCAGTATGCTACTGGGTAGGGCCGATTCAACTTACTACCTTAAAAGAATGGACAGAAAATTGACTTTGAAAATCCATTGAAATTGCATTGGATGTCTTTAAGAAGCCCTAAGGTACACGCCTGTTCTCCAAGACATCCATCTTGGCCAAGAAATGACCCCGTGGGCGGAAATTCCTATCCTATAGACACAGCCATTAAAACGGTAGTTAACCTGAACCATTCGTCTTCTATTGTTCCCCTGCCTCCCGGAGGAAATGACCATGGGAAACACGGGAAACACGTAAAGTACGGCCTGAATGTAAAACATAATAGATCTACGTTTTTAAGTGCTATCATTTTGCCTGAGGGCTCTCTCCCGTCATAAAGCACTTATCGTCCGAGTGAATTTAATTTTGGAATAAAACTACTATCAAAGACACATAAAGCATAGTTACCAAAACGTGAATGAATTGTTTAAAGGGGTTAAAATCATAACATAATGCTTTAC